TAGGAGCTTTTTAGAAATCAACGTACTAGGGGGGTCTGAAACGTGGCGAAATATAGCGGTTAAAGCGCTAAGTTGGCAACACTGCTCTTTGCATGGTTTGTTTTCAAATGGTTTGCTGCTGTCTGTTTGGACCTTTCTGAACATGTGCAGCAAATGGACTGATCCAATATGGTGGATGCTGAAGGGGGGGGCTGAGACACACTTAATATTATAAGCGTTTTGATGGCATTTTAGTGAAAGGATTTATATCAAGAACATAATTAAGGTGCACAAATAAGGAAAAGTTGTATGAACCATAAATGTAAACATGCCTAGTATTGCCTAATGGTAAAGCCCCCCCCCCCTAATTCAGATAACCGGTTTGATGCCATCATGGGGTCAAGTTTAAACTTCCTCCAAACAGCTTAAGATAAGAAGTGTTGAAGAAACAGCAGCTTTTTGCATTTAGAAATAACATCCAGAGTTGTTAACTGATGGCTCAGCATTATGCAGATGCAGTAAAATAATCCCAAAATGTGCTGGAGCAGCTGAATTACTAAGCAGCGCAGAGACAAAAGCTGAAGCATTGCTATTCCTGGCAGCCAGCTGAACGCTGCAGCGCTTCCACACAACCAGCAGGCAGAGAGACGAGACGCTCACCGACTTGTCCAGGTTTGTAGATGGGTTTGTCTGTCTGCACGATGTGGATGAAACCAGGCGGCTCAATGACGACTTCGGTCTTCTTGCTCAGGGAAGCGCCTTTACCCTGCAGCGTGATCTCAACCTTTGCTATCGTCCTGCTCAGCACTGCTGGGACCTGTAACACCAGTAAAGAAAATCATAGAAACTACAGTCTGAACTTCATTAATTTTATTTGGATTTTATGCAACTGATAAAAGAAATATAGAACAGGAGAGAAATCTGGGTTCACTGCAGCAGACATGCAGACAACCTGGTTTCTGAGTATAAATCAGCTTTAAGAGTGTTTGTTTTAGACTAGACTAGAAGCAGCCTGGTAGTTTCCTCTTCAAAATCAAGCAAAGCCTGCAAGCTACAAAACAGACGTGGAACAGAAACCCAAGAATTCATCCAGTGAGGCCCGCTGCTGATGGCAACCTGAGTTATGGCTAATGAGGCGCGTAATGATGCCAAGATCGGCGGCATTCCGTGACACGGACAATTAGACGATGGAGGGGGGCAAGTACACTGTGTTTAGAAACATCACCGATGAATTAAATGTTCCGAACAATAAGTTCTATTTTAGTTCTGCAGGAAAACGGACCAGCAAAGAAGAGAAACCAGACCTGGAACTTAAAGCAGTTGGTGAAATCCTCTGAGATGGTTTTCTCCAGGATGACGTTTTGGATGGAGTCCACAGTGAGAGTGATGTTCAGAGAGAGCCCTTCAGTGGGGTTTTGGACGATAGCACACATTGTGTCCTGTTTCCCTCCAGTCAAACGGGAGCTAACAGTCACTGCATAGCTACTGCAGTGGAGGAAAAGAGAGAGACAAAAGACAGTTTATTGGAAAACTTTCCACATATCCTCTAAGATCATTTACTGAATGCAAAGTTCTTTTCAAGGTATTGCATAACTTGCCTTTAAACGAGCTTAATGAAATCTCATTTTAATAAAAATATGGAACTATCAGTCTTAATTTTTCACAAATACACATATTTGATCCAGACATGCACAGGACAAGTCCACACAAGCACAAAACGTGGAGTACTTTCTTGTAATTGGCTTATACAAGAGAGCTTTGTGAGAGTCTCAAAAACTACGCTCAAATGCAGTGAAGTTTAAAGACCACTGGTACTTTGTAATTTAATTGATAATAGTTTATGAACCAGAAATATTTTGGTGAATCAAGCTGTGCATGTGTGGATCTTGTCCTATGCATGTATGTTAGGGATACACGATATTGGGATTTTGGCCGATATCCGATATGCCGATATTTTAAAACTCATGTAGCCGATAACCGATATCGATAC